GATATTTATTTTTTAATATATTTTTATGGTCGCCTTCCCCATTTATTGTGAGCTAGAAAATCTTCCAGGCCGTGCCAAGAGCTGCCTAAGGATCCTAAAGGCTGTAGGGGTAAATCCTTGGAGTTCAGACCCTGGAAAAGTGGGAGAGGGTCTTCAGATCCGTGCTGGAGAGGTGACATCTCCAGGCCTGCTCCAACCTGAGCCTCCCAAGGGTGACAATGGGACCCTTCCTGCTCCTTGGGGACCCTCAGCAAAGATTCCCAGGAGTTGTGATGAGCCTCAGAGAATTTTTTGGCATGAGGGTGTGCTGTCGGTGTTGGTCAGTGTCTGCTGGGATGGGGTGTCCTGGCAAGATTTTGGGGTTAAAATCACCCAGTGTTGGTGCTTCTGGCTGTATCAATCCTCAAACAGACAAATCCAACCCACCCAGGTTCAGCTTTCCTGAGGTTCTGGATCTGCCCTGAAAAGTTCCCTGTAGAAGGAAAAGTGCCTTCTCCACTCTTTTCTGCCTGCATGTGGCTCAGATCACGGTGGTTTATCAATTTTTCAGGTGCAGACTGACAGGGAACAAGTCAAATATCGCTTGGAAGGGTGGAATTCCATTAATATAGCATGTAATCAATTAAAGTAATGGGCTCTGGGTAAGGAGGTTGGCAGCTGGAGATGGGCTGATTCCATGTGTCCCACCCTCCTTGGGGACCACAGGGCTGCACTGGACATGCCTGGAGCCTGTGAGAGGAGCAGGAGGCTCTGGAGAGAGGATTGACTCCTGTTCCTTACAAAGCAAAGTGTCTGGGCAGTGAGGATGCGGGTGGGAAGTTTGGAAGGAGATGTGGGGTGCAGGGAAATTCTGGGAATCATTCCTGCCTCAGGTCCAGGATGGCCTGGCCATGTCTCCAGCTGTGCCCGGAGAGTGAAACCGGCTCAGAGCACAAAGCCAGGGCCCTGAGTCACGGCAGGATCCAGGAACTGGGGCTGCGGGGAAGCACCAGAGCAGGAGGCTGAGGAGAAGGTTTGGGGTTGGGAAAGCTGGGCTGGCTCCAGCAGGAAGGGGAGGTTTCTCTGGATCTGGGGTGGGATGGGATCCAGCCTCTCTGGGGTCTCATCCCTGCCCTGGGAATGCTGTAGAAAACCACTTTGGAGTAACAGAGCAGCCAGGGGAGGCCATTCCCAATGAAACCTTTCCCATCCTGGCTGGAAGGTGCCTCTCCCGCCCTGCTTCCTCCAGGAGAACCATTTCTGTGCTTCTCCGTATTTTTTCCTCTTCCTCCCGGTTTCTCTCCCGACGGAGAGCCCACGACAATCCAGCGGCACAGCAGGGCTGGCGTAATGGGATGTGACACTTCTCATCACGGAGGGACTCGCAGGGTCGGGGCTGACAGGCTCCTTCAGGCGCCCAACCCCGGCTCGACGCTGACGGGAAAAGCAAGGCTGGGCTGGGAGCGAGCGGGTCGGGGCGGCGTGGGCGAGCCCGAGCCCTTTGGGAGCATCCCATGCCCCAGATGCAGCACCAGGATCCCTCTGGAAGCGAGCTGCTGCTCAAACAGGCGGCTGAGCTGGGAAATGCCAGAGTTTGGGAGTGCTGGGAGCTGGCCGGGCCCTGCCCTGCTCCCTCCTGGCCTCCCCGAGCGCGGGGATAATTGGAGGGAGAGTTTCTCTTGGATCGGCTCTTTGCTCACATGCTTTTTGTTGGAAAGCAGGACGAGCCCGGATGGTTCTGGGAGCTGGGGGAGGAGTGGTCCTCCCCGCTGCTGCTGGCTTTGGTGGGGAGGAGGAAACCCCAAAATTTCACCTTCCTCTGCAAGGACACGGTGGAACAGATCCAGATCCACCTGCAATTAGCATCTCATCCTTTTATTCCCCGATCCAGCCTCGCAGGGAAGCTGGGTTGCCATCCCAGTGGCTCTACCTTTCCCGGGATGCTCCCCTGTGCTCGCTGAGCCAATTCCTCCATCCTGACCTCATTCCAGAGATCACAGGAGCTGAGGAGACCAAATCTGGGCTCCCGCTGGGCCGGCTTTGAAGCCGCTCGGCCCCGTCAAGCTCCTGCTGGCGAGGAGCAGTGCGGGAGGAACCCCGGGTGCCTGGGATCAGCTTCCCCCTCGGATAATTGTTGGTTAATGCCGGCCCGGCCCCTCGGACGCTTCCCATGGGATGCAGCCCCCGCACCTGGCTGAGCCCCCCCGGTGTCCCGAGGTCCCCGGGGCCGGGTTGGGACGCGCTCCCGGCGAGGCAGGAGCAGCCCAGCCCTGCTCGGCTGCACTTCCCCGGGTCCCATCCGTCATCTGTTTGTCCTGGTCCCCTGCCAGCGATTGTGCCGATTCCCACACCCACTTTCCATAAACCCTCCGTCCTCGCCCGGGCGAATCGCTGGCGAGAGCTCGCCACCCATCCCTTTCCCCTCCTCTCCGATGGGATCAGACACGTTCTGGAGAGGGGGAAGAAAGGGAAGGGGGTGAAAAGAAAACAAAAAGATCAAGAGGAAAACACAAGGTGACTCACTGCCTTTAATTTATCTGTGTTTATTTATTTATTCCCCCCTTCCTCGGCTGCGACGTGCAGGCAGCAGCGAGGGCTGGCCGTGAGCTCCCAGGGAGCCTCGCTCGGTGTCCAGGCCACCAGAAATGACAGGGATAAAATTCCCTACTCCTTTGGCCGAGGAAACGGTCGCGGAGAGCAGCTGCTGGCACTCGAAGTGTGTGGCACAGATTTTTTCAGGCTTCCCAGGTCTCTGCACGAGCATCCCGTGCCCCGCCAGCTCTCGACCCCACCCGCCACAGACCGGAGGGTGGGAATATCTAATTCCACCTCCTACACCGTGTCCTCGGCAGGGGAAAGAGAGAAAGAGGAGATAAAAGGCTGGGAAGCTCAAATGGTGTCATTAGGAACTATTAATGCTCTCATAAAAGGGCATTAATAAACGCGGCAGCTCATCAGTGTCCATTAGCTCGGCTCGTGGCAGGGATCTTTGGGAGCTGCCGGAGTGTGATGCTCCCCTCGCCCTCACCGGCGTGTCAGCAAAGGGGAAAGGGGCTGAAGGGGGGGTTATTCCTCCAATAAACCATCCCCTGAGCGAAAAACAAGGAGAAAATGTCACAGGGCGTCACACCCCACCTCTCCAATCCCTCCCGTATCCCGGCAGCCGTGCCCAGAGCTTGCTCCTTGCTCCCAGGATAGCTGTTTACTATTAAAGGAAAAAAAAAAAAAAAAAAAAAAAAAAAAGGCAGGCAGGGTTTGGAGTGCTCATCCCGACTTTCTCCCTCCCGCCCTCTTCCTGTTCTTGCTCTTAAAAAGGAGTTTTATCCTTTGACTCTCCCATGCCCGGGGCTAGCGAGGAACCCGCAGCATCTCGGGGCGAGCTGGCAGCCCACATCAGCGGGCAGGGGAGCGGGAGGAGGCCCGGCCCGGCCCGATAAGCCCCTGGCAAAGCCAGGAATAGCAGCGCTGTCCCCGCACGGGAGCGTTCCTGCCAGGAGCGGAGAGAAACCCGCAGTCCGTGCCTTTGAAGAGCTGGGGCTGGCAGCCGGCCCGGCCGCACGGCGAGCTCGGGATGAGCTCGGGATGAGCTCGGGATGCGCCGGCAGCTTCCCCCCGCCGGGCAGCGGCACATCTGGGGGAGCAGGCACAGCTGGAGGGCTCGGGCACCTGTGCACATCTGGGCGGAGGAGGGGCGAGCCCGTGCGGGTGGGCTGGAGGGGCACATCTGGATGCGGCCGGTGTGCGCATTTGGATGGCGCGGGTGTGCACATCCGGATGGCGCGGGTGTGCGCATCTGGATGGCGCGGGTGTGCACATCTGGGCAGGGCCCCAGCGGCCCCGCGGCTCCGTGTGTCCCCTCCGGCACCCCCCGGTGCCTGTCCCCTCACATCCGGCGCTGCGCCTTCCCCTCCCGCTGCGATCCCGGCACCCAGGCCTGCCCAGATCCTCACTCAGCAGCTCCCTGTCACCGGGGTGCTTCGGCTGCAGCTGCCAAGGTGGCGAGCAGGACTCGGGGAGCCGATATCCAAGGATCTGAGGGAGCTCTTGGCTCCCCGGTGACCTTTGGGGCAGCTGGCAGGAGGCTGTCACCGGCCGTGACTCAGTGCAGAGCAGTTTCCTTTGGAGGGAGAGGGAAGCTTTGATCGCGGGGAGCCGAGGCACCGAATCCTGCTCCCCACGTGCACTTTTGCTGGGAGTTATCTGAGGCATCTTTTTTTTGGGATAATAACTCCCAGGGCAGGTTAGGACGGAGGAGGCCTGGCAGAGGAGCGTGTGTGGGCAGGACTGGAATAACGGGTGCTGTAGGAGAGGATTTACGAGCGCTGGGAGGTTGGGAATGGCCGGGAATAGCACAGCAGGTCAGGGGTGAGGTGGGATGTGCGGGGCCAGGATGTGGATCCAGCTCCTGGCATTGTCCCTTTGTCACCCATGCAGTCCCCACAGGATGCTCAGTGTCCCAGGAAAGGCTCCCTGCTCCTGGGAAGAATCCCAGGACGGGGATGGAGAGCCAGGCCTCCAGTGGGACAAGCTCTGGAGCAGGAGTTTCTGTTGAGAGCAAAGCCAAAGCTTTTTTCCAGCTTTTGCTGCTGGAAATCACCACAATCCCACAAGGAATGGGCCAGCTCTCCCAAATGCTGCTGTGCTGAGCAGCACCGAGGCTTTTAACAGAATTTTTGTGGCTTTCCCAGGGTGCCACAGCCTGGATCTCTGGCCTGGATCTCCAGATCATGGATGGTGCCTGTGTGCAGGTGACAGCAGTGTCACCTGTGCCAGGGCACTGTGGGTCAAGCCCCTAAATCCCAAAGAGCCAAAGAAAAGCCCTGGCACGCTCCTTCCACCCACCTGGAGAAAATTCTCTTTACAAGAAGAAAATGATCTTTACAAGGCAAACACACAAAACGTTGGAAAATGAATCCCTGGGGAGAAGCAGGCAGCGCTGTGGGGGCAGGAGGGCTCCATCCCCCTGTGTTTCTCCTGAAGATGACAGTTTCACCTGAGCTCCCTCTTTTTTGTCCTTTCAGGGTTCGGATCTGAGGGTTGGGAAGATCAAAGGGAAGGTCCTGACAGGTGAGTGCAGACCCCAAATGAGGGGATGGGGTCTCAGCCAGCTGGGACGAGGGGGTGACAGTGCTGGCTGGGGTGGGCACACCAGGACACCGGGGGAGACACAAGGAGCTCCCTGGGGCACAGCTGGGCACTGTCTGAAACAGGAGCCACTTTTTCTCTTCTTTTTTCTAGAGGTAAAAGTGGTTTAAAAACTCCCCAGCAGTTGGAAAGGCTCCAAACCAGTGCAAAAAGAGGGGGGAGGGATAAAACCCAAAAGAAGAAGACAAGATAAAAGCGGGTGAATCCCAACAACTCCTGTGATGTTGCAGGAGCAAAGACTTTCGGTTCCAAATGGTCCAGATGTGGCTCAGGGAGGTCACAGCCCAGGGGAGAGGGGCTGGGGGCTCACCTGGCTGCAGGTGACTGAGTCCTGGCAGAGCTTCAGCCTCTTGTCCCTCGGTGTCACATCCTCCTGTCCCTGATGGAGGCCGAGGGGTGACTGTGTTGTGCATCCCTTGGATGTCCCTTTGCCAGGGACAGCCTCTGTGCTCAGCAGCTGGACATGCCCTGAGCCAGCTGCAGGCCCCACATCTGGGCAGCTGTTCCCTGCTCCCTCCCAGCCTGGAGCACAACACAAGACCCCAGGACCCCCCTGGGGCAGCCCAAGGGGTGCTGGCCGTGCCCTGGTGGGGGGCTGGGGGTCTCAGGTTTGTCCTCCCTGCCCAGGGGAGGCTGCACCCAGCAGGGAGGGTGCAGACATGGGAAGGGCATGGAGGGAGGGGAGGTCAGGGTGTGATGAGGGGTCCCAATGCAGGGGGCTGAGTGGGAGAGCTGATCCCAGCCTGAGGAGGTGGTGAATGACTGGTTCTGGTGGCTCAGAGGGACACTCAGCCCTTCTCTTCTGCCTCCCAGATTACGGGCGGCCCAAGCCCTCGCGCTACAGCGGCTACCACCGCTACCAGTTCCGCCTGTACCGGCAGCCGCAGCACCAGACCATCTCCCTGAGCTCCGAGGAGCAGCAGTCGCTGGGTAAGGACCCGCCTGCCCTCCATCCCCGCCCCGAGGGGCTTTTCCGGGGCCGTGGGCAACGCCGCGTGCTCCGGCAGGCTGGGGATGCCCGCTCGGTGCAAAGGGATCCTTCCAGGGGACGTGGGTGAGGTGTTAAATCCTTGCCAGGCAGCAGGAACCCTTGGAAAACGTCTGGTAACGGCCTGGCTAGCGGGATCGGAAGCAGGGAGAGATGTGGGCTGTGAAATGCAGCCCTTGCTGGCACATCCCCCCAGCCCGAGCGGCGGGAGTTGCATCAGCGGCACCTCGGAGCGGGCGGATAAGGATCAGCCGCGGAGAAGGTTTAGCAAGGGATTGCTCAAACCGGGCTGACACAACGCCCGCCAACTCCCAGCTCCCCGGCTCCTCCCAAAATCTTTCACCGAAGGGATGGAGCGGCCGAGACCCCCAAAATGCCGAGGGAACCGTTGCTGCTGCTCCATGCCGGGGCAGCCTGCAGGAGCCTGGCACGGGCAGGGATCCATCCCGGCCGGTGCCAGGCGCGGGCTCCTCCCTGCCCTGCCTGCAGCTCGGGCCCCTGTGCCTCACGTGGCCTCCACAAGGGAAATTTCAAAACTTTCCCAGCTGGGACCACATGAGCAGGGCTCGACGGGCAGGTCAGGTCGGTGTGTCTGGGCTGTGCTCAGGCTGTGCCTGACTCACCCCGTGCCTGGGAACCCACAGAGCCCGGCCCGGAGCGGGGGCTGGCTCCGGGGGGCTCTGGGACAGCCCCTGCCCCCGTGCCGGCACTGAGCCGTGGTGCTCATCCCATGGCCGGAGCGGGATGAGGCTGCCGTGAGCCTCCCTGCGGGTTCTCCCTGCCCTTGGCTTTGTTTTCTGGCTCATTAGCTCCGCTTCTTAATGACACGGCTGATGTCACCCCCCTGCCAGCCCCTCATTTCTGCCGGGAGGAGGGGGCTCCGTGTTGTCCCCACATTCCCACCGCAGCATCCCAGAGCTGGGAAGGGACACAGAGACACCCACCAAGGAGCTTTTTCCAGACAAATCCTCTTTTTAGCAGGATATGCGTCTCCAGCCCCCCAGATGTCACCCCCGGGGAAGGTGCCCCAGCACCCCGCTGTCCCCAAGGCGGGGGTGGCCGGGCATTCCCCAGCTGCCGCTGTCCCCATCCCATCTGTGTTTCCCAGCCCTTCCCGCACTTCCTGGGAAAGACCCAGCGGATATTTTGGATATTTTTCCGCAGGATCCGATGCCTCAGCATCGTTTGTCAGGCAGCTGCGGGGGTCTGGCAGGGGCTTATGTTTAAGGAGTCGGTTGAAGGTTATTTTTAACCATTTCACTGCTGCATCACATCCTTGGCCTGGCTGGAGGATGCTGCTAGGTTCAGACATCGACAATCCATCATCTCTATTCCCAGGGAATGAGCCCTAAAAGCAGCCAAAGAATAAGATTTTGGTGTCTCAAGCATTTTAAATAAATCCATCCCCAAGGCAGTGGGATGAACGCCGATGGATCTGCTGGTGCATCCAGCCCTGTGCTGCACAGGCAGCACACGGGGAGCAGGAGCAGACACCTTTGGGAGAAGGTGGGAACGAGGAGGGGGTGACCCCAATCCCAAAGGATCACGGAGGAGAAGCCATCCCGGGCTCTGCCTTGCTCCTCTCCTGCAGCAGAAGCGGTGCAGGTTCTCCCAGCGATGCCGCAGGCACAGTTTGCATCCTTGCTCAGAATTTCCCATCTTATTTGGCCTCAAATGAACCCCTCCTTGCTGTTTTTACTCCGTCCTACATCTGGTGACAGCGACATCTCTGTCTCACCGAGGCTGGGGACGCCCATCACCACCAGCCCTGGACAGGGACATGTCCTGACCGGGCACTGGCCCATCCCAGCCTCGGGATGTGTCCAGCCTCCAGTTCTGCATCCCTGTGCTGGGCATCCCTCCCTCTGGCAGCTCGTCCCCTGGCAGAGCTGAGCCCCACCAGAGCGTTTCTGCTCAGCTCCCAGAAAAATTCCCTCCTGGCACGGGATGTGTGCAGGCGGCCAGGCCAGGCAAGGTCCCGGGCCGAGCGTGGCCGAGCCGGGGGAGGTGACAGTGCCAGGCGGGATGGCAGGAGCTCGGCCGGAGCCTCCAGAAGAGGGCACTAAACCAGGACCTGCCCGCTTCGCCTGTCCCTGCTCCTGGGAAAGATCCCTGGGAATTTAAAGCGCGAGGGGCAACGGCGAGAGTGGAAAACAAATCCCTGTTTCTTCTCCCTCCCTGCCTGGCTGCGCAGTGCCAGCAGCTCAGAGGAGCAGGGACATTTCCACCCTGCCGTGGGGATGTCCTGGTTGGGGTGGCACTGACGGGCACAGGTTGGGTGCTGGAAGGGCTGCAGGACCTGGACACGTCCCCCTGTCACTCGTGGCAATGTGGAAATCAGTTGTTTACGGCCGGGGTGTTTCTCCAGGGCGGCTCTTGAGCAAAAATCTTGTTTCATCAGGGAAAAAAATCCACCCTGATCCTTCCCTGTGAGGGTTTCTGATCAATCCCGGCACCAGCCGGCTCCGTGTGACCTCGGGCAAACAACTCAGAGCCTCAGTTTCTCCTCTGGACTCTGATTCACTTCAGTTTTTGGCCTTGCCACTGAATTGTCACCGAGCACCAGCTCTGTCCCTGCTCAGTACCGAAGGTGGGGACGTTTGAGGTGTCCCCACGGCTCTTCCTGCCACTCACCCCACTTCCCTCGCAGCCAGAAGTGTTACAAGCCGTGGCTGTGTTTTGGGGAGATGCAAGATAATAATTTGTGGTCTGTGAAATGTCACAGCCGCCGTCGCATCCCGGGGCGGCTCTCGATCCACGGGAAATCCCTCAGCTGGGGAATTCAGGCACCCACCAGACCCCGGCTGTGCTGCTGGGGAATTAAAGTTCCCCCACAGCTTTCATCGAGGGGGATCTTTAATTAGCACAAAATCTTGAGGCTTAATTGCACCTGAGTTCATCCCTGTGCTTCCACCTTTTCCCATCAGCTCCGGCATTCCCAAAGCCCCTCCTGCCCTGGAAAGATGTTCTACAACCGGGAGTGGATTTTTTTTCCTCCCAGAAATTTTGCCTCCTGGAAGCAACAAGTCCTTTGGGGAGCAGGGACGGGGATGAGCCCGGCCAGCCCGTGGCTCCATCCCTCTCCAGCTCCAGCTCCGGATCGGGGCCGCGGCATTGACTCATGAGCCGACCTTGTGCGCCTCCAATCCGATCCACCCAGCTGGAAAATCGGGTTGGACTGGGCCCCGGCGGGGAGGGAAAGGCTGCGGCCGGGACGGGAGGCGGCAAAGGGCTGCGGGGAGAGCACGGTGCCGGCCCCAGTCCCCGGGTGTCACTTAATGGTGACCAAAGGAGCTGCCGGCCTCCCGCCCACCTCCGCTGGGACATCATTAATCTTGGCAGAGAAGCATCAGGGCTCCCATCAGGAGAACATCGCCGCTGATGAGGCTGATAAATTACAGCCGGGGGGCCGGGGGAGGAGGGGACCGGCGTTTGGGGGGTGGGCAGGAGAGAGCGGCAGCGCTGGGAAACCTGTGGGATTAGAGGGATGCCGAGCTCCCCGAGCCCAGCGGTTGCCTCGTGCCTCAGTTTCCCCATCGGGTGCTCCGGGCTCAGGCGGCCGCGCACGTGTGGGTGTCAGCGGGCACTCCTCTTCCTCCGGCGGGTGAGCAGATAAGAGCCAAGTGGGATGATTTAATCCTTTGGGAAATGAGCTTGAAAACGGACCAAGCCACGGATGAAACGCCGTATTGTTGTGGCAGGGAGAGGGGACAGTGGCACCGCGACCTCGGCTCCCCGGCCGGCCCCCTGCTCCTTTCCCGGCTCCGTGATCCCAGTGACTCACAGTCCCCAGCCCCGGGAGCCAGCTGGGGTGGTTTGGGATGGCTGGCACAGGGAGCTGGTCACGCTGGGATGGGGCACCCGCTTTGAGGATGCACCCGAGGGGTTGGATTTGGTGTAGGGGGGACCCGGCGCCCCAAATCTGGCACCCCCCGGTGCATCCCCCCCTTGGCCACACCCGCGGCTGCCCCGGGGCTTTCCTGGCCCGACGGGCCGGGCACAGCCGGTGCCAGGGCAGGTAGGAAAGTAGGTCAGGAAAAACCCCGGCCCCACGCGCGGGGCGAGGGCCGGGGCCGGCGCCTGCAGCCCCGCAGAGGCTCTGCCTCCCCCGGCTCCTTTCATCCGCGCCTCTCCGGAGGCTCCGCGAACATCAGTGACAGCTCCGGCACCCCTGGGAGTCGGGGGTGCCTCGTCTCGCTCTCACCCAGCCCCGTGTGGCACCCGCGGCTCTCCCGGGGGGTTTCCCAGCGCTTTGAAAGGCTCCGGATGAAAGGCACCCAGCCGGCACAGCGGGAGCGGCCCCCCCGAGGCTCCTTCCCCTGGTGCCACCTTCATCGCGACCCCCAGCACGGGGGGGGGGGGGGGGGGGGGTGGGCTGACACCGCCAAGTGAGGGGCTGCCCCTCCTGCCGAGGTGGAATTTGGGGCTCGTGGCTCTGTTCCGGCTGGCGGTGACCCCATTGCGGGACATTGGGACTGTCCTTGCTCTCAGTTTGGTTTGTGTCCTCGGAGGGTGGCAGGGGACACCTGGGAGCCTCAGCAGTGCATTCCGACATCTCATCCCAGCCGGAATGTGGGATGCAGATCCTTGCTGGGCACCCTGGGAGCTCCTTCCCTGGCCCCGGAGCATCCCAGTCAGCTCCAGGCTGCGGTGCCGTCACCACGAGAATCTCCAGGGCTTTTTTTGGAGCTCCAAACCCGAGGTGGAGAGCAGGTGGGAGCTCCACCAGCTCCCCCAGCCATCAGCACCCCACGGAGGTGATGCAGCAGCTCAGGTTTTGCTCAGCACTTTTGCAAGAGCAAAGGGGACGCTGTGCTCCAGTCGGGGCTGAGATGTGGCAGCAGATAAAGGCTGCCAGGCTGCCGCGTGACATTAAAGAGCAGCCAGGAAGAGGAGAGGACAGGTTTCAGATAAACAACGGGCCCCTTTCCCCGGTGGCCCACAAGGAGGGGCAGCCTGAGCGGTTTGGGTGCCAGGGAAACCCCCCCAGTCAGGGCAGGACGCTCCCACAGCCGCCAGCCAGACACAGGCTCGGTGCCCGACCCCGGCAGGGCACAGGGGGATTTCTGCCCCACGGGCCCGGGGATGAGGGAGTCCCTCCTGCCCTTGGACCCAGAGAGGGTTTCCCTGCTGCCTACGTGGGAAAACCCCCTGCTGGATCCAGCAGAAGCTGCCCCCAGAGCTCCGGGATCCCGGGGTCAGGGCGGGCAGCGGGGGAGGAGGGTCAGGAATGAGGAACCCCCTCGGCTCCAGCAGTCTGTGGAGCAGCAGCTCCGTAAATGCCAGTGAGGGGGACGGGGGATGTCCTGTGACATCCCCAGGGGGATTTCCAGCCAGGCCACCCCCGGGGTGGGCTCGTGGGAAGCCATAGGAAGGTTTGCTCCAAAGGTCAGGGGGCAGGAGAGGAGCCGAGGTACCCCCGGGATGCTCAGAGCTGGGGTCCCCGTGACTCCCCGCTGTCCCTGGGGCCTCCTGGGGTGTGCAGGATGTGGTTTGGGGCAGAGCAGCAGCTGCACGCTGTGCTCCCCTCTCCAGCCGTCCTCCAGCCCTGCTCACCCCCTTTTCCTCTCTCCCCAGGCACCTGGGACCTGAAGGACTTCGTGGAGGATTTTCACCTGGGCCACCCTGTGGCCTCGACCCAGTTCCTCACCAAACACTACAAGGATTAACTCCGGCCATCCCTTCCTTGCCCTGCACATCCCCACACCACAGAGCCACCTCTGCCCGGAGCAGAGGGGACCCCAGGACCACTGAGGATGAACCCACCCTGCTCCCAGCCCAGAGCCCCAGCCCCAGCCCTCCCCTCCCAAAACCAAGTTCTCTTTCCCTCTGGGGATCATGCCAGGAGGTGTCCCAGCTCACCTGGCTATCCCAGCAATTCTGGCATCCCCCCTTCTCCCCCCTTCACCCCATTTCTGACTTGACCCCCTGCATGTCCCCCTGGCACTTTGGGGACTTTGATGCCTGCAGCTTCCTGAATAAAATTTGGATGGAGCACACGGGGCTCTGTGGTGGCAGCGAGCGCGGGGCAGTGCCAGGTGAGTCTGGCTTTTTGGGATCTGCATGGGATGAGCTGACCCCTGTGGGCAATGGGAGCAGGGCGTGGCCAGCCAGACCCTCGTTTAGGTGACCCCAGGGCCACCCAGCAGGGGACAGGGGCAGTGATGCCTGTCCAGGGGTCCTTTGGTGGCACCACATGGGAAAGGGGCACTGCCCCGGCCCTGCCCTGCCTTTGCCCTCAGCCCATTTCTCTTGGAAAGCAAAACCGAAATTAAAGGCATAAATCAGCAGAGCTCTGCTTACTGGCCACTTAGCTGGACCTCCCCTTTAATTAGCTCCTTAATTAGGCTTTCATCTAAGACTCAGTTTTCTCCGAGGCTCAGATTCACCCGCCTGCAGCTCCTCCTTGGAGCACATCCCGGTGTCTGCGCTGTGACAAAGCCACCTCTGTCCTGCCCATGGCCAGGAATAATGTTCCCCTTGGAACAAACCATGGGGAGCAGGAGCCCAGGATGTTCTGCAGGCAGGGGAAACCGAGGCACGAGGGAATGACTGGCTCAGGGCTGGGCAGGGAGGCCTGGGATCCTTCAGAGGGGTTGTGATGCTCTGGTTGCTGCATCTCAGCTCTGCATCAGTGCCTGGGTCTGGAACAGAGCAAGTTGATCCCAAAAAAACATCTCTGTGCCATCCTGCTGGTCACCTTCCCTGGGTCCCTGGCAGTGAGAGCAGATTTCAGTCCTGCCTGGGGGGTTAAATGTGGATTTCAGTCCTGCACTGCAGGGTAAAATATGGATTTCAGTCCTACATTGGGGGGTGAAATATGGATTTCAGTCCTACCTGGGTGGTTAAACATGGATTTCAGTCTTGCACTGGTGGGGGTTAAATGTGAATTTCAGTCCTGCACTGGGGGTTAAGCTTGGATTTCAGTCCTGCACTAGGGGGTTAAACTTGGATTTCAGTCCTGCACTGGGGGTTAAGTGTGAATTTCAGTCCTGCACTGGGGGTTAAGTGTGAATTTCAGTCCTGCACTGTGGGGTTAAACTTGGATTTCAGTCCTGCACTGGGGAGTGAAATATGGATTTCAGTCCTGGGGTGTTAAACATGGATTTCAGTCCTGCACTGTGGGGTTAAACATGGATTTCAGTCTTGCACTGGTGGGGGTTAAATGTGAATTTCAGTCCTGCACTGGGGGTTAAATGTGAATTTTAGTCCTGCCTGGGGGGTTAAACTTGGCTGGGACTTTCCCTCCAGGAAGTGGCTCTGTGCCTCGGAGGGGCTGAATCACAGCGGGGTCCTGCAGAGCCCTGTCCCCTCCAGGAAGGATCAGGGTGTCCAAGGGGGATGCAGGAGCAGGATCCAGCCTTGCCCTGGGCACACCAGGCTGGGTGAAGCTGCAGGAGCCGGCGGGAAGGAAAGCAACAAAAAAAGGAAGCTGGGTAACACCACAACCCAGGAAAAAAAAAAAACCATGAACCCCGCTGCCACTGGCGCTAAGATTAGCAGCAGAGGAAATGACACTGAGATGTCATGGAAGTCTGCTAAAGTTGGATTTCTCCTTTTTCTATCCCTGCCCTCAGAGCAGGGTGTAATTGGCCCGGCAGATGGGAGCGAGGCTCGGGTGAAAATGAGAGGTCAGGGCTCGGCTGACATCCTGCAGCCCAACTGCATCAGCCTCCCCTCCCTGCCCTCGGCTCCTTGTGGCTGCCGTGGTTATTTTTGGTGGGGAAAAGGCAATCGGATGTTTATCCTTCTAGGAAATGATCACCGCTGTTCCTGGGCTTAATTGGGGATGAGACAAGGGGAGCTGAGCTGGGATTGGGATCACTGGGAGCCAAAGTGACCCGCGGCCCTGTGTGACACTGTGGGGTGGAGTGGGATGGGGAATAGAAATGGGCATGGGATGGAGAATGGAAATGGAATGAGAATGGGAATGGAATGAGAATGGGAATGGGATAAGATGGAGAATGGAAATGGGGATGAGATGGGATGGGATGGGATGGGAATGGAAATGGAAATGGAAATGGGATGAGAATATGAATGGGACAGAGAATGGAAATGGGAAAGGGATGGGATGGAGTATAGAGATGGGAATGGGATGGGATGGGATGGGATGGGATGGGACGGAAAATGGAAATGGGAATGGGGATGAGGATGAAGGTGGGGATGGAGATGGAGATGGGGATGAGGGCACAGATGGGGGTGGAGATGGAAATGGAGGTGGAGATGTGGATGGGACAGATGGGAAATGAGATGGAGAACAAAGACCGGAGTGAGGTGCAGATGGAGAAGGAGAGGGGAGTAGAGATGAGATTGGGGATGGGGATGGAGAATAGGGATGGGATGAAGGTGGAGATGGGGATGGAGAAATATGAATGGAGATGAGGATGGGGATAGGATGGAGATGGAGTTAAAATGGGATGGGATGAGGATTGAGGATGGGGATAGGGATTGAGGGTGGGAACAGGGATGATGATGGGGATGGAGAATGGAAGTGGGAATGGGGATGAGATGGAGAATGGGAATAGGGATGAGGATGAAGGTGGGGATGGAGATGGAGATGGGGACAGGAATGATCACATCAGGAATCTGCCCAGCTGGCTGCAATGTCCCTGTGGTGGGATGGTCCCTGCCAGGACACAGCACCAGGCACCCGTGGCCTTTGGGGGCACTCAGGGCTGCAAAGGCAGCAGCCTTGGCCAGCCCTGCACCTCAAACTCTCACTGGGATGCACACGAGGCCTCCACGGCGTGGAAAATATTAATTGTGGTTTTCTGGTTCACTTTTCGATTATTTAAGAAAGAGTGAAGGAAAAAACTCACAAGGAGGAAGCCACGTACAGTCACTTCGTGCTGGTCCCACCCCCTTTATCTCTCCTTCCATTCGCTCACCATTGGCGCGAGAGAGAAAAGAGAAGCTGAACCTCTCAGCTGCCTAAATGTAGAAAGTTTTGCTTCTAAATCAGTTTGTGATGGAAAGGAAACACGTCACGTCCCTGGGGAAGTGGCTGGTTTTGAGCAGCCACAACCCCAGCGCCGAGTGCTGCAATGGAACAGCCCAGCACTGAAATAGCTCCACGCTCTGTTATTGTCACCCAGAGAAGTTTTTTTTTCACTGTCTACAGGTGTCATTTTTAGCCTCCAGAGGAAGTTTTATTTGTATTTGTTACCTCGACTTTCCACTGTCGTGGCTTCGTGAGTTTTTCGTGTGAAGGACTGGGAGAAAACAGAGTGGGCTGAGCTCAGCTGTGGGGTGTAAGCTGGGACCTACAGCACCAATGGCACATCCCAGGAATTCCAGCATGGATTCACCAGCCCTGAAGAGCCCAACTGCATTCCAAGGCCACAAAGCCATGGAAACACAGAATCCCAGGGATTGTGGGGGGCTGTGAGCTGAGCTGAGCCCAGACATGGCTGTGGGATGGACACAGCTCCCCTCTGCTCTCCCAGGATGGGGCTCTGAGCTGGGTTTGGGCAATTCCAGCCCCTTCCCAAAGCAAACCCACCCACTCCATGGCATGACTGAGGGAGAAGAGGACTTGGAGTTTAAAAATTAACAATGAACTCGTGAAAATTGAGTGTTCCTGGTGAGAAGCAGCAGCACCCAGCAGCACATAGGGGGTGTTCCTTGCCAAAACTGGGCTGGAGGCCAGGAGAAGCTCGTGCTAAACACGAGCCCCAAGCCAACAGGATAACAATTACCTGTTTTTAATAATCACTGAAATAATTAATGGGAGAAAGTCCCAGCCCCCAGCTCAAGGGGGGCAGCCCTGGGCCTGATGCAGAGGGCTCACCCCAGGAAAATGCAGATTTAAGGCCGGAGCAGGTACTGGGGGACAGCCCTGGCACCCCAAAGCCTCAGTGGCACCTGGGGGTGCCACAGGGACAACCCAGCTGCCAGGAGCTCGGCAGTGCCAGGCAGCAGCTCCCCCTCAGCCAGGGACTTGCTCAAGAAGGGATTAGCAGGATCAGCTGATGATGATCTAAGCGCATAACTATATCAACCTGCGAATTAATTACTGATATCTCACACCTCGGAGCTCCTCTATCTGCAGATCTCTGCACTCCTCAAGCGTTCCCTGAGCTCAGCCCGGCTGCACCCCCCGGGAAATAGGTCAGGAGGGATAATCCCCAAATCCCCACGTGCTGCTGGGGACGGGCAGCGCTGCCCGATTTGGGAGCGGACGTGGGAGAATCCCCCGGGCAGCTGAACATCAGCAGCCCCACGGGATGCTGAGGCACCCGGCTCTCCACGTCAGCCAGGGGTGGGCGACGCTGGGATGATCCAGAGAGGAGCTCCAAGCCTTCATCCTCGTGCTGGGGACTCACAAAGCCCCGCTCTGGGGGTCCTCCTGTGCCGCGGGGATGGGGATGGGGGTGGGAGCCTGCACTGGGAGCTGCTCCCGGCTTTGCTGCTCCCGGCTTTGCTGCTCCCGGCAGCCGGGCGGGCCCTGGGAGAGGCAGCTGGGCCGTGGCAGGAATTTAGGGCTCCTGAAGTAATAGGTAAGGCAGGAAAGGCGAGGACAAGGACGTGTCCCCACCTCTGTGTCCGTGCCAGCGGGCAGCAAGGGGCACGCAGGCTGGTCCTGTAGTGATGGTTTCATTAATTAGCAATAATTAATTATTATTGGGTTTCCAAAACGCTGTATAACATCAAAGGAGCTTTGTGGGGC